ACTAAACTGATGTCTGCCTACGGGACACCTCAAGTCATCGAGAGCGATCAAGGGACTCATTTTACTGGTGCAACGATACAGCGCTGGGCAGAAGAAAATAACATCAAATGGCGATTCCACCTGCCATATAATCCAACAGGGGCAGGCCTCATCGAATGTTATAATGGTATTCTTAAGGCTGCCCTGAAGACAGACTCCCAGTCCCTGCAGGGGTGGACAAAAAGACTGTATGAAACCCTGCGGGACCTGAATGAAAGACCTCGAGACGGCATACCCAGTGCCCTGAGAATGTTGCAGACGACATGGGCCACCCTGCTTAGGATCCAAATTACGGGCACTGATCATCAGGGAAGACCCCAGATTGGTAACGAAAAAAATCTTCTGCTCTCTGCCCCTGAGAATTTATATCCGGGTACCCATAAAATAAAATGGCCCTGGAAGGTGCAGGTAGGACCCAAGTGGTGTGGCCTACTTGCACCTTGGGGGAGACTGTTGGAGGTGGGAGCTGATCCACTGATCATCACTCGTCTTGAATTGTACCAACACATGTCGTGGTAAAATTGTACAAGCGTCGCGATATACTGGATCTCTGTATTAGGGAAAGCTTACCCTTTAGTTAACCTGATCTTTGGTTCATGCTATGAAGGGGTGGAGTTTATGGGAACTGCTGAGTCACTGCCTGAACCTCTGATTGATCACCTGAGGCGAGCCGTGAGTCAGCCAGAGGAGCACAGGTGAAGGCAATTCACCTGTGCTGTTGGAAGGGGTGCAGCTTGGCTCCACCTCTCCTTGACCCATTTAAGAGCTGGCTACCAGTGGGGTTGGGTCTTGTCTGGAGTTCCCCTTTTCTGGTGTTTTTTGTAGGTGATCTTAGTGTACAGGTAAGCCTTCTATTCATTCTCTCTTATTATCTTAGTCTACGTTGTGTAACTCTGTTTTTCTTTTTGTGATTATAACATCTTAATATCCATTACTTATACAGTTTTTTGCTCCGTAACTTAGTTACGTCTCAATCACACCACATTCACTCTGACACTTAGGTTTGCTAGCTCAGGTAATGGTGTTCTGAACATGTTTGAAAGGATATCCTGAATATAGCAGTAGCAGTTATTCAAACACACAGTACTGGACATTTACAGCAGATGGTAACAACAGCGCAGATTACTATTCCTACTACCGCGGCTATAATAATGTAGTTTATCATTTGACAGTTGTCAGCACTATATCTTGGTAACCCAGGGTGTAACAGACTCAGATTTTGGGCCCAATTCCTCATGAGTACTATACTCCTATCTCGGATTAATAGGGGTGTACTGCTGGCACTTCATCAAGTGCACAGGGTACCGCACACCAACAGTTCCCTCTGAAGTCTTTTCCTTTCTCCAACACAGCCGCTTTGTCCGTCCCTGGCCATGCCCCTCAAGGGACAACGGAACCGCAGGTCCAGACTCAGCACTCAGTTAACACTGAAGGTGTGTCTCAGTCACACACACTCAAGAATCTCAACCGACTTCCAAGGCCAGAGTTAAATTCCCTTACCTTGGTCCGTGCATGAAGTTACCTGGTCATAATGGCCAACACCCATGCATACCTGCCCCATGGCTTTCACAGAGCCCATCCTTTATGTAAGAGTCTTGGTTTCTTATCGGCTGTCCCAACGAATCACCTCACCCCCCAGACAGGACTGCTGAAATCGGCAGGGTGCACCTATCCTGTCCAGGGCAGTGTGTCAAGGGGCGATAATTATCCCAGACGAGCCCCCAAATTGTTAGAAATATCCAAATAATTTTCTAGGACGGTATCTATGATGAAGCAGATTTTATTCGCAATTGCAATGGCAGGCCTCCTGCAAGCAGGAGAGCACCCAGGAAAAGTGTTACACCTTTTATTCCCTGTTCCCTGATGCTTATCTCTTTCTCCCCTAGTTCCTCATTGGCTGAGTACTTCAGGTTCATAATCTTCTCGACGTTTCACTAAACATGGAAACACTGGACAAACATAAATTTTTGCTGCATAAGCGTAAATCTGTAGTTAATTAATAAATTTATTCCACACCTGATCATTATTTTGCAGATATCTGCTTGTCCTTCTTTCTACAAAGATAAGCTTGGGAGAAAGATGGGAGTGTCTTGGTGCCTGTCTGTCATGTCCCAACCTTCTCCCAGAGTGAGACAGTTCAGCCTTGTGTAGAGGCCCTAACATCTTTGATGTTTGCTAAATCTGTTCTTCTTTTGCTGGGAATTTCTTATCCTAACAGAACAACTCTACAATGTTTTCTAATCCCTAACACACTATGCTCGCATTGTTTGGAACATTTAACAACTATTACAGTTTTGCAAGAAAGAATTAATCACGTAATTCAGTAATAATGTTTCTAAAACACGCTGCTAACATATATAGCATTTTACTTCTTAGATCAACTATTTCTAAGGATGAGTTACAGAATACAAATGCATTATGTCCTACTTCAAACCAATTGCTCTTTTTAATATCAAATGCAGAAACAACATTCCATTCCTACAACTTTGGCTTTAAAAAATGGAGGGCAGGAGAGAAGAGGCTGGAATTAAGTATGAGTTGGAAAAGAGCATCAGGTAATGTATTTTTTTATAAGCACCTGGAGGAAAACAAGGGAGGGACTGTCAGCATGGGCTGCTCTAGCATTCAGTGGTCTCTGATGCAACAGGGTGGAGGGAAGGCAGCAGGACTCCCAGGATGTTCTTGGCCTCATTAAGCACCTTGCCAGGTGGGGATGGAATAATGTGAGTGCCAGAACTGATGGGAAACTTGTACTTGGAGTGCAGTGGGTTGTGCAGAGGTGGTGGGTGGAGTTGTCAGTACCTCTCACTGAGGCCATTATCCATGGAGCATTTTATTCCCCAGAGCTGAAAAAAAACAAAACAAAACAAAAAACAAACAAAAAAACCCAAACACTTTAAAATCAGATCCAAGTGAAAGGCTTGACTTGACCGAGCATTTTGTGCCCGGGCCCCTGTCCTTGCTGGGTGACGTTAGCTATGGAGCAAGTCCCTGTACTCTCGCCCATATATAACTTGCACGGCTGAGCCCGGGCGCGCTCAGCGCACCAGTGACGCTCTCTGACTTTTCAGTCACTTGCCTCTCGCCTTTCTCGTTGGCTGTAGCTCCCTACTCCGTTTCTCTTTGCTCATATGCTAGCCAATCGCGAGGCAAGGATCGCTGTCGGGGCGGGCCTTCCTCGATTTTATTGGCGGATTTTTGCAGTTGGCTGTCCGGCCCGTGTTGCCTGGTAGAGCAACCATGACAGAGAGGGCCACTGCGATTGGCTGATGACTGTCGCGCTTGACTCATAACGATTGGAAAGAGAAGAGAGATAAGGCGAAGGACAGAGGGCGCTCGTTCTTTTATTTCCTTTTTCCCCCCCGCTTCCCCTTTCCGAGTGGCTGAGGCACTCACCGGTCGGAATTTCCGATTGGCCAGCGCACGCTGTTGCTAGGCAGGTGAAGAGGCGCGGGGTGGGACTTCCTCTTCTGATGAGTCGGCTCTGAGGTTGAGTCAGCGTGAAGCGTCTCGATTTGCTGTCGTAACGATTCTGCTCCGAGACCCACTTTGAGGAGCCGTCGCCGCGCGCCTATCCTCACCCCTTTCCCTCTCAGCGCCATGGCCTCGGGATCTGAGTAAGTGTGGGCTGCCCGGCGGTTGGCCGGGGCCCAGGCCTGGCGGCTGAGGCGCTGGTCCTGGGCCAGCGTAGTTTAGCACCACTTTCCTCGTTTCATCGTGATGTAGCGTTGCCCGGGCTGGGTCACACTGGGCCGGGCCGATGTTTCCTGATCTCGCTACGTCGTGCGACCCCCGAGGAGGTAGAGGTGTTGAGTGGGCCGCTCCTCGCGTGCTCCCTGTCTGGCGCGTGCCTGCAGGGGGCCCCTGGGTACTTTCGCCGCCCTCCTCCCGGCTTCTCTTTCCGGAAAGTGTCGAGTCACGGCGGGATGAAGCCGGGTCAGGTTCTCTCGCTCTGATGCTGCCTGCTGTGCCCTTGACCGTCCCGCCTACGCTAGGCCGCAGCCAGGCAGGGCTTTGTCTCGCGGGTTCTCAGGAGCCAGAGGAAACAGCAGCGCTGTGTACAGGAGGAGGGAGAGAGGCATGTTCCTGTCTCCTCTCCGCAGGCGCCGAGTGGTCCCAGAGCTAGGGCTTGTGAGCGATTTGGCACAAGGAGGTAGATGTGCTGGTCTGGCCCTAGTGGCAGCTGAGACAATCTGCTCTATTTTCATCTTCAGTGCCTTGCTTCATGTTCTAGGCTGAAGATCATTTTTCATGCTTCTCGAAAATGAGTTGAGTAATAGCAGTCTCCCAGTTTCTATCCCGTATATGCAAACCATAGCACTGGCTTTTGAGAATAATAAAAATAACACCTGAACAGAATTTTCTAAATCAAAGAATACTGGAAATAATTAATTGGCCTTGCCAGAGGCACTTTTAGTCCCTTTAGCATCTGTTGTTTGTTCTCTTGGAATTGAAATTTAGATCTGCTTGACCCTGAGTCAGTTCCGTTGAGATGTGTCAAGAATTCAGTGTTCATGATAAGCTTGTGATGGAAGTGATAGTGTAAATGGTGTCTTTTCAGCTGAATGACACAAACAGTGCCTTTAAAAAGAAATTTCTGCTTCTGCAATGTTCTTCTCACCAGGTAGAAATCAAAACTTGCTTGTCAGCTGGAGAACAGTTGCTCTTTAGGTATAGCTCAGTACCGTGCTATTGGCAACTGTCTTGCTGAGCTTTAGCACAGAAAGTAGGATTGCAAGAGCTAAGAGCACAGTCTCTGAAGAGATTGTCATGTGCATACTCATCTAGCACAGTATTTGAGAATTTGTCATCTCAAGCATGGGTATCAACTTGCTGCTTGGTTGTCCTGGGCTGTTCTAGTAACTGGCTCTAATAATAAAAAACATCATTTATTTACTTTAATAGATAAAATGGGGGAAGTAGGTCAGTATGTAACATGGATGTACATGCTCAAGATGGTTAAAAAAAAAAACAAAAACAAAAAAACTACTGACAGGTTTGTCTCAGAATAAATTTTGCGAGGACATGGATTAAAAAGCCCCAGCAGCCTACAGAAGGCATGATTTTTTTCTTTTTTGTTATCGAAGCTGGAATTGTTACGAGTCTGTGACTTTTCGCTATATATTTATCACAGATGTACAGGAATATCTTAGTTACTTAGATCTGGATTTTTGAGTATCAGTGATTTTTATAAAAATAATCACTAACCAGTAATTATTTTCTGCTCTCTTCATATTGTCTGCCGTAACTCATAGTGGTGTGCTCATAACTATGCTCTGACTGAAAAATGTTAAAGTGTTTGAAGTTTTTAAAAAGTATCTCTCCTTTTTCCAATGTAAAATGGGTCCTTTACTGAAAAAGAGGACTAAGAATGAGACCTGGGAATTCATTATTGTTAGTCTTTAGGGCTAGTATATAGTTAATGCAATTCTATTGATGTTCTTTAAATACAAGTTTGACCATTAATTATGCAAGGGATTACATCCTCACTTCTGTCCTCTGTCTAGGGGCAAGCTTTGAATTTTCTTTTAATTCTCAAACAGCTCTAAAGCTGTCTTGTGTTCAGTTTCATGCTTTTGACAGTGAAAGAAAAGAGGAAGAGGGAAAGCAAAGTGAGGGAGTAGATTAAAGGGATGAGTAGGGGAGATGATCTAGAGAAATTGAGGTTTCTCTCTGACAGAAAACTCATTGAAGAGCTTTGAAAATTATGTAGGATAACTTGTCTTGACCCTTACCAGCACGCATAGGAAAGTTAGCAGAGGAGGTTCACAATCCATGTCTTAAGCTTTCCTTTCCAGTTTAGTATTTGCAGTTCAGGTTCTCCTTTCTTGCTGCATAGATTTTTGGGATTATCCAGATGTAGTTAAGGGGCACAAACATACTTTGCTCTGTCATCTTGGTTATTGCATGAGGAACCCTCAGGAGAGGTGCAACAAGGATAAGTGGTAATGATGATGTTCTAATTTGCTATTGGAATGTGGAGTGGCACTTGTCTATCAAAGTTACTGCTTTGTCTGTAGGAAAAATAAACTAACTTTCCTGTATTGATACTGTATAATTTAACACTTTTTTTTGTTTGCACAGCTGTTATATGAAATAACTGAAGCCGACCCCGTGCACTTAAATGTTTGCTGTTTTCAGGGAATTTTTTTTTTTTTTTTTTTAAATTCCTCCAAATTTTACAATTGCTTTAATTGCAGCAATGTACTGACAGCAGTGATCCAGCCTGTACAGTCAATGAATATAAAGATGTTATACTTACAAAATAAGTAAGAGAGCTTAGCAAAGTAGATTAGAACAATAAAAAGAGAACAGATAGAAAGCTTACCTACATTCTGGGCTCACTACAAAACTCTAGAAAAAGAAACTCTAGAAGAGATCCTTTCTCACTGGTAGGCAGCTCTTAAATAGGTCTAGGAGAGGTGCAGCCAGGCTCCACCCCTTCCGGCAGCACAGCTGACTTGCCTTCACCTGTGCTCCTCTGGTTGACTCATTGCTCACCTCAGGTGATCAATCAGAGGTTCAGGCTATGATTCAGCAGTTCCCATAAGCAGCCCTTATTTAGAAAATAGCAGATTCAGTTCTTCAGTATTGAAAGTTTTTCTTACATTCAGCAGAACGAAGTATTTATCTTGCTGTGCTGTTTGGTGGTGCTGTGTACTGGAAGTTATCTGAACTTATTTTTTTCTTATACAGATTTTGTTTTATTGAACGCTTTGGTTAAAAAGCTTTCACATGCTGTTCAGTTTCTCGTTTATTTTTATCTTGTATCTAAGTGCATTTTTTTTTTTAGGCTGTATAACAATCTGTATTCTAAAGTGATAGCTACTTAGTTTCAGTGACGATTTATGTAGTTAAAGTCTGGCAACAGTCTCTTATTAGAAGGCTTTTAGATCCATACCTTGTGTGCAGAGGGGTATGGTTTATATTCAAACTTTGAACAGGCTAAATAGAAGTATTGTTGCTTTCTAGTGTTCCTTAGTTCAAGTTTTTAAGTATACCTACTAAATTAATTTCCAGTGTCTAGGAGCTTACACTGATGCACAGTCCTTAAAGTACTTTATTTCTATCCACTGTTTATTGTTTTCAGTTCTGTTATTGCTGTTAATTTCTATTAAAAATCCCAGCCTTTTTTTTTTTTTTTTTTTTTTTTTTTTTTTTGGGACACATTTAAAACAGAAAAAAAAAAGTTCACAACAGCCTTCTTTGTGTTCCTTTGGGTTTAGAGGTTTCATTCATAACATTTAATGTACTCATTGAAAGGGAGGGATGTTAATTTCTTAACTATTGCATTATTTAATGAAGGAAGGGAGGAAGATGATTTGCCCAGTGGTGGCAGTCCTTGAAAGACACTTTTTACAACTCTCTAGTTCACTTAAAGTTGCTCTTCATTTGAAATGCTTTTCCTATGCTACTAGGGCTTATGCAAAGCTTGAAAGCCTTCTGGAAACAAGCCTGCAGCACTCAAGTTTGCTTGTCCCCTGTTCTAAGTGTCAGGGAAAAGAGACAGCGCTGCACAGTCTGGTTTGGAAAAACTTGTTTCTTGAAGGTGTGTGGGGTACCTCAGGTAATGTCACACCACAGATATGTCAGACCTTTCTGATGTACTTACAAAGATACAGTGAACATGCCAAACAGAGCACTGCTGCAGTGGTCTGCGTTCATGCTCTGTAATTGTTTGCTCTGCCACTTCTGCTTAAGGTTTCATTTCTTCTGGTTATTTTGTTCCTAAAAGAGCTAAATGGAGCCAAATGTACAGCCAACACAGTTGTCTAGAAAGCTGCCTGCTCTTTGTGGATGTTTGCTACAAAGAAAAGCTTTTTTTTTTTTTTTTTTTTTTTTTTTTTTGTCAGGATTAATCCATTTCTTTTATTACCTTAAATGTTGGTACATCTGGATTAGTTTAAGAAAAGTAGTCAGGCACCTATCAAGGGAAGTTGCAACAGTGTTGCAATTTCATCTGGCTAAGGTACAACTTTCAATAACTACTCAGGATGAGTTGGTTTAAAATTATTTCTTTTGTAAAGTGAATTATTTGCTGTATTAGTTTTTGAAGGAAGTGACTTAATCTGCCTTCCATTTTATTGCTGCTTAATTTAGTTATTTTTTGTCAAGGCAAACAAATTGTCGTATTTTTTGTAATATAGTGGGCTAGAACTACAGTGACTTCTATGAAGATGTTACAGAAAGGTGCTTATACCCTTTAAAAAAAAACACGCTAGTTTTATTGAGCACTACATTATTTCTACCATCTTGCTAGGTTTAACTAATAGATTTTGACAGGCTAAACTCTCACAGGTCTTTCTGTCAGGGGAACTACAGCATTGTTCTTTAACTCTCCTATTTATCTGGGATTTGACACCATATAGACAAACTTTTGTTTCAGCACCAGTTGTTATGAGTCTGACTAATTCATTTAGGCAAAACACCTTACAGTCAGCAACATCTCATTGACTGCTTCTTTTCAAAGATGCTTTGTAGCTATTTTCATGAGGCTGAATTGATGTTTATACCCAGAAAGCATTCTGTTTTGAATGCCTGAAACTGGTGCCTAGGAAGAATATTCTATCTTACAAAGAAGTATAGTTTCTAAAAGATATGACAACAAAAAAGCCCTGTAGAAAATGGAGACCAAAGCAGGGGCGTGGTATCACTTACTCATTACTTCTGTTTTCTTTTCCAGTTCTAAAGCAGATGACTTATCAACTGCTATTCTGAAGCAGAAGAACAGACCTAATCGGTTAATTGTTGATGAAGCCATCAATGAAGACAACAGTGTTGTGTCACTGTCCCAGGTGCATCTCCTGTAAAAACTTAATCTGGGCAACACACAAACTGTTGCTGTATTTTAACTTGAAATGTAACAGCTGCAACTTCTTATACACACTTATAGGCTTCTTGTTACAAGTGAGGGAGGTGGGTTGTTTTGTTTTCTAGCACGTTTCCATGACAAAATATTTTTTTTAATTCTGAACTCTTAAGATTCACTGACTCAATATTGGTTCTTGACAAGCGTAGTGGGATCCTGTCTTTCAGGGTTTAGTATATCACTTCCAAGATGTAACTCTCCTTCAAATGCTTGAATTCTTTTTTTTTGTCAAAAGCTTGTTCTAGTGTTATTGTTTACAGGCAAAAATGGATGAATTGCAGCTGTTCAGAGGAGACACTGTTCTGTTAAAAGGAAAGAAGAGGAGAGAAGCAGTCTGCATTGTTCTGTCAGATGATACCTGCTCAGATGAGAAGATTCGCATGAATAGGGTTGTTCGCAACAACCTGAGAGTGCGACTGGGTGATGTGATCAGGTAGGAACTGGTTTGTCAACAATTGCATATCTCTGGGTTGCCTAAATAACGTGTGTGCTGGCTCTGAGTTGATTCAGTCAATAGCAAAGATAGGATCTGCAAGAACTATTTTTGTATTTTCCAGAGAACAACAGAAATGTGAAGCAGTCAAATAGCGAGATTAAAAATCCCCAGAAGATGTTTACCATCCAGGATGTCTATATTTCAGTTTTTGTTATATAAGTAATTTTTAGATTAGGAATACTTTAAAAGTGTTGCAGGAATTTTGTTGTGGAACACTTAAAGAAAATAATGAGAAAACATTGAAGTAAACACTGTAGAATACATCTTGGCTTACAGGAGGCAGATTCCATTCTGTGATGGGAGTTAGGGAAAACAGTGTGAGCGCTTGGAAGTACAGAAATACTCATTTCCAGACTTAAATATGAGCGGGCTGACAGCTTCCCATCCTGAGCATCCTTCTAATTTGTGATCTCCTACGTGTTCTGGGAAAATTGGAACCTGGTTTTGTTTCTGGCACTGTACACCTGGAATAATCTTGAAACACAAACTGTGTTTCATACAAGCTTTGTAGAGGAGAGGGGTGAGGCTGTACCACTGTAGAGCAATGAAAAGCAATGATAATGCCTTCTACTAGGATAAGAGTACACTTAAAGGTATTTGTTAAGATTTAGTTTAGAAAGTGATATAGAAGTAAGTGGCTCACCCTTTTGAAAGACTGATGATGTCTCAAAGAGCACAATATGTGAAAAAAGAAGGTGCTTCCTAACCTGCTAATCTTTAAATGAGGGTAAGGAGGGATGGACCTGGGGGTTGACCCCTTCTCACCTGGTGTTCAGTCATTGGTTCAGGCTATGACCTATTCCCATACAACCACCCTTTTCTACTACTAAAAAAATACAAGTTTTAAGCAGTACCCTAGTTAGAACAGAACACTGCTTTGACCTAGTCTGTGAAGTAAAGGTGAATTCTTACTCTAAATTGATGTAAGGCTACTGTTAGAATCTTTCCTAGTATGATGATTCAGCCTCTACTCTCCCCTTTTCTGCTGGGACTGTCCATAGTGATTCCTGAACTTCCATATGACTGATGCTTAAATTTGTTGCAAGGGTCAGAACTTTTGCACCTCTTGTTTAATTATTTCTTGTCTTTCTGCATCATGGTCTCAGTGCATGAATTTGGATTTTTGACAAAATGCTTCCTGTAAACTGTTATGTTTTTTTCCTGGGGCAATCTGTTTTTTATTCTTTTGCTGTATCCTTTCTATAAAGCATATGGTAAAATAATCAATTAAGAGTCTCAAACAAGATGATATTTCTAATATGCTATTTTCATTTGTAGTTCTATGTAGGATTTAGACTTTGAGGCAGGCTGTTGTGGTTTAACCCAGTTCAGCACCACACAGCTGTTTGCTCACTTCCCCTCTCCTCCAAGCAGAAAGAGGAAGAGAACTGGAAACAAAGTAGAACTTATGGGTTGAGATTTAAAAAAAAAAAAAAAAAAAAAAAAAAAAAAAAAAAAAAAAAA